TTACAACATGTAAGAGAGTTGGAAGCTGGCATGGTGGTTCACACCTGTAATCCCAGAACTTTGGGAGGCTGAAGCAGGTGGATCACAAGTTCAGGAGATCGAGACCAGTCTGGCCAATATGGTGAAACCCCGTCTACTAAAAATACAAAAATCAGCCAGGTGTGGTGACTGTCTGTAGTTCCTACTATTTGGGAGGCTGAGGCAGTAGAATCACTTGAACCCGGGAGGCAGAGTTTGCAGTGAGCCAAAATTGCACCACTGCACTCCAGCCTGGGCGACAGAGTGAGACTCTGTCTCAAGAAAAAAAGAAAAAGAAAAAACCAGCACTTTGGGAGACCGAGGCAGGAGGATCACAAGGTCGAGAGATCGAGACCATCCTGGTAAACATGGTGAAACCCCGTCTCTACTAAAAATACAAAAAATTAGCTGGGCATGGTGGCGCGTGCCTGTAATCCCAGCTACTCAGGAGGCTGAGGCAGGAGAATTGCCTGAACCCAGGAGGCAGAGGTTGCGGTGAGCCGAGATCACGCCATTGCACTCCAGCCTGGGTAACAAGAGCAAAAAAACCCTGTCTCAAAAAAAAAAAAAAAAAAAAAAAAAGAGAGAGAGAGAGTTGGGAAAGTAATTTTTTAAGAGACAGGGTCTCATTCTGTCACCCAGGCTAGAGTACAGTGGCATGATCATGGCTCACTGTAGCCTCAAACTCCAGGGCTCAGGCGATCCTCCCACCTAAGCCTCTCAAAAGGCTGAGATTATAGGTGTGAGCTCCATGCCCAGCCCAGCTGGGAAAGTCTTCAGTGGGCATTCAGCCTTCAACATTTTCCCCATTCTCTCATTTTATAGATGAGGCCAGCATGGTGGCTCACACCTGTATCCCAGGACTTTGAGAGGCTGAGGCAGGCGGATCATGAGGTCAGATCAAGATCATCCTGGCCATCTGGTCTCTACTAAAACACAAAAAATTAGTCGAGCATGGTGGCAAGCGCATGTAGTCCCAGCTACTCAGAGGCTGAGGCAGGGGAATCGCTTGAACCCAGGAGACGGAGGTTGCAGTGAGCCAAGATCTCGCCATTGTACTCTAGTCTGGTCATGGAGCAAGACTCTGTCTCAAAAAAAAAAAAAAGAATCTGAGTTCAGACAGTGATGAATAGTTTGCCCATGATCATACCATAAATTAGCAGCCAAAGCCCAGGGCTCCTGATACCTGGAGCAGAGGCCTCTCTATATAAATTCTCACTTCCATTTAGAGAAACTGTATGATCTTTATAGAATCTGAGCAGAAGCAAGGACAGTTTGCACACAAAAAAAAACTATCTTCAAAATAAAAGAGTATTTTTTGTAGAGTACCAACTAAATGCCAGGTACAGTGGGGGACACAGAAGCATAAGACCCAATCACATACACACAAGAAGTGAATGCCGAGTTATTCCTAAAACTCTTTCAAGGTGGCAGGGGACTTCCTCAGAGCTATCACCAACCCTGTTCTGACCCCACAGTGCGTGCCATGGAAATTAACCCTGCCGTCTTAAGAAGTGAAAGTTAAATTAGATTCTTTTTTTTTTTTTGAGACGGAGTTTCACTCTTGTTACCCAGGCTGGAGTGCAATGGCGCGATCTCGGCTCACCGCAACCTCCGCCTCCTGGGTTCAGGCAATTCTCCTGCCTCAGCCTCCTGAGTAGCTGGGATTACAGGCACGCGCCACCATGCCCAGCTAATTTTTTTTGTATTTTTAGTAGAGACGGGGTTTCACCATGTTGACCAGGATGGTCTCGATCTCTTGACCTCGTGATCCACCCGCCTCGGCCTCCCAAAGTGCTGGGATTACAGGCTTGAGCCAATGCGCCCGGCTTTAAATTAGATTCTTGACTGGGAAAGTAGGAGACAGAGAAAAGATGGCTGAGGCTCAGTTGGCTTTTCTCACGTGACTCAAATCTGGGACACCTATTTTCCCCAAGCAGAGAAGCCCACAAGCAATCAAAGCAGCAGAGCTTGCTGAGGCTGGGAGGCAGAGCTTTAGTCCATTAGGACTTTTTGTCCTCATCCTTCCAGAGAAATGAAACAAAAAACCACATATAAAATAGGAGCACAAATTTCCTCTTAGGTTTTAGCATATCTAAAATTGCTCCAAGTTGCTATAAAAATTTCTAAGGCCGGGCGCGGTGGCTCAAGCCTGTAATCCCAGCACTTTGGGAGGCCGAGGCGGGTGGATCACAAGGTCAAGAGATCAAGACCATGGTCAACATGGTGAAAACCCGTCTCTACCAAAAATACAAAAAATTGGCTGGGCATGGCGGCGCGTGTCTGTAATCCCAGTTACTCAGGAGGCTGAGGCAGGAGAATTGCCTGAACCCAGGAGGCGGAGGTGTGGTGAGCCGAGATCGCGCCATTGCACTCTAGCCTGGGTAACAAGAGCGAAACTCCATATCAAAAAAAAAAGAAAAAAAAAATTTCTAAACACTTCTATTCTCACAATTATCTTATTTCAGAAGGACAACAATCAGTTTGTAGACCGATGCCAATCCTGGCCCATACTTGGAATGAACTGCCCTGAAGACATCTGGGGACTCTTTGGCCCCTAGAAATCCTTTGGTAGAGGGATCTCTGAGCTCCACTTCCTACCCAAACCAGGTCCAGGGTGCTGGGAAGTGATCTGGATGCTGTGATGGTCACAGGATAGAATCCGAACTGTGACTGTCCATCTATACTTTCCTCTGAACTTCCCTTTTTTTCTTCTTCTTATTTATTTATTTATTCTCCTCCTCATCCCTGGCCTCCTCCTCTGAACTTCTCTAGTCTTCCTTCCCCAGCTGTAGGAAAGAGCTTCACCAACAAATAAAGACTTCCACCCCTTTATTCTAGTCCCCAACCATATCCAATGGTACCCACTAGGATCACAGACAGGTTCTTTCATTCATTCATCCAGGCACCTTCCTAAGCACTAAGAACCCAAAGTGAACCTAAAAGACAGATTCCTGGCTGGGTGCGGTGGCTCACGTCTATAATCCCAGCACTCTGGGAGGTCGAGGCAGGTGGATCACCTAAAGTAAGGAGTTTCAGGCCAGCCTGGCCAACATAGTGAAACCTCATCTCTACTAAAAATACAAAATTATCCAGCATGGTGGTTCATGCCTGTAATCCCAGCTACTGGGGAGGCTGAAGTAGGAGAATTGCTTGAACATGGGAGGCAGAGGTTGCAGTGAGCTGAGATCGCACATTTGCACTCCAGCCTGGGCAACAAGAGCAAACTCTGTCTCAAAAAAAATAAATAAAAGACAGATTTCTGCCTAAGAAGCTGATGTCCTAGTAACAAAATGGTATCAGAAAGAAAGGCTTCAGTGGTTTACACCTGTAATCCCAGCATTTTGGGAGGCCAAGATGGGCAGATCACTTGAGCCCAGGAGTTCAAGACCAGGCTGGCCAACATGGCAAAACCCCTTCTCTATTAAAAATACAAAAATTAGCCAGACACAGTGGCCCATGCCTGTAATCCCAGCACTCTGGGAGGCCGAGGCAGGCAGATCACGAGGTCAAGAGATCAAGACCATACTGGCCAACATGTTAAAACCCTGTCTCTACTAAAAATACAAAAATTAGCTGGGTATGGTGGCATGCACCTGTAGTCCCAGCTACTTGGGAGGCTGAGGCAGGAGAATCACTTGAACCTGGGGGCGGAGGTTGCAATGAGCCAAGATTGTGCCACTGCACTCCAGCCTGGAGACAGAGCAAGACTCCATCTCAAAAAAAAAAAAAAAAAATTACCCAGGTGTGGTGGCGTGCACCTGTAGACTCAGATACTTGGGAGGCTGAGGCAGGAGAATCCCTTGAACCCAGGAGGCAGAGCTTGCAGTGAACTGAGATCACACCACTGTACTCTAGCCTGGGCAACAGAGTTAAGACTCTGTCTTAAAAAAAAAAAAAAGATAAAGAAACGAAAAGAAAGAAAGAAAGGCATCAGTCTTCCCAAATACAGCTCTGGGTGGCCCAAAGGTTGGTTCTCAGATATATCAGAAATCAACTAATTGGAGATCTAACCCTCAGATATAAAAGGATTAGTTTGTGGGCTGGGCACAGTGGCCCATGCCTGTAATCCCAGCACTTTGGGAAGCCAAGGCAGGCAGATCATGAGGTCAAGAGATCAAGAACATCCTGGCCAACATGGTGAAACCCAGTCTCTACTAAAAATACACACACAAAAAAAAAATAGCTGGGCATGGTGGCACACGCCTGAAGCCCCAGCTACTTGGGAGGCTGAGGAAGGAGAATCACTTGAACCTGGGGGCGGAGGTTGCAGTGAGCCAAGATTGTGCCACTGCACTCCAGCCTGGCAACAGAGTGAGAATCCATCTCAAAAAAAAAAAAAAAGGATAGATTTGCTAGGAATGAAGGAAATTTACCAGCATTTACTTTGCTAGAATGTGGTGGAAGGGACTGATAGAGAGATGAACTCTGAAGTGTCCCTGCTCCATAGTCCCACAGTTCCATCACCTCACAGCCTGGAAGGGAGTGGGAGGGGTGGTGCACTCACTGATTTGGGTAAATGAGTAGGTGGGGGCCCCAAATGGCATTGCTTTATGACTATTAACAGCTTGGGGAGGAGGCAGGGCAGAGAGTGGAGGCTCACTGACAGATGAGGACACTATAACTCCAAGAATAGGTGACCTGCCTTCAGGGTTAAGGACTCAGCCTGCTGTGGCCTACATGATTCTGAGAAATGGGCCAAAGAAGCAGGAAGAGACAAAATTGACATAAAGAATAAAGAAAGCTCAAGGGTAGAAGAAAAGCTTCAGCCTCTCTCTGTCTGGGAGGGAAGGGCTGGAGGGGCTGGGCAGGGCGGGGCTTTCTTCGAAAACTGAGTCCCTCCTCCCTGATTCCCCCATTGGATCAGTGGCTCCTGCAGCCCTGCCAGTGAGAAACAAATGAGAAGAGCTGCTGATTTTCCCCCTTGGCCATTCAGAATTTTCTCACATAAATACTGAGGAAGACTCTGCCCTCTCCTCATTTCTCTGGACTTGGCCCTGAGCTGGACCTGGTCCACTGGGGTAGGCAGGGTGATGGGGAACCTGTTTGTGCTCTGGGCAGCTGTGGGCATAAGCTGTGCCACATTCAGTGCCTCTGCCTGGTAAGTCCTTTCCCACCCTCATTCCAAGCCCCCACTGCCTCATCCCCATTTGCCTCTGCCTCACTTTTTCTCTTTTCGGTAGGTCAGTGAACAATTTCCTGATAACAGGTCCCAAGGTAGGATGATCTCCGGCTTCCTTTACCCACTGAGGGCCCTAAGGGGACTCTTCTGGAGAAAGAAGGGAGGGGGCAGTGCCAGACAGCCTCACCCAGAGGAACCCATAGTTGATTCTCAATGGAGAGCTGGCCCATCTGAGTCCTGCCTGTTCCCCCCATCCTAGATGGCCCACACCAGGCAGAAGCTCACAGCCCTTTTCCCTTTGCCAGGCTTATCTGACCTACACAACTAGTGTGGCCTTGGGTGCCCAGAGTGGCATCGAGGAGTGCAAGTTCCAGTTTGCCTGGGAACGCTGGAACTGCCCTGAAAATGCTCTCCAGCTCTCCACCCACAACAGGCTGAGAAGTGGTAAGTTTGTGCGGGACTCACCTGTGCAAGGGGCATATCTGTGAATGGAGAGGGGCTTGCAGTATGTGTGTATGTGTGACATGTGTTGCATAGTGAAATGAAAATGCTGCCGGTGACCTGCTGACCTGCCTTTCTTTGCTGTGTGACCTTGAGTAAATTACTTCCCCCTCTCAACCCCAGATTTGTCATTTGGGTCAGTAAGGCTAGTTCTGTGTAGTTCATCAGAAGTATCCTATGGGTTGAATGAGGTGGATATGAGATGTCTCTATTTATGAGATAAATGTAGGAAATTATTATTTTTTTTTTTTGAGACGGAGTCTTGCTCTTATTGCCCAGGCTAGAGTGCAATGGCATGATCTCAGCTCACTGCAACCTCCACCTCCTGAGTTCAAGCGATTCTCCTGCCTCAGCCTCCTGAGTATCTGGGATTACAGCCATACATCACGCCCAGCTAATTTTTGTGTTTGTAGTAGAGAAGGGGTTTCACCATGTTGGCCAGGCTGGTCTTGAACTCCTGACTTCAGGTGATCCACCCATCTCAGCCTCCCAAAGTACTGGGAATTACAGGCATGAGCCACTGTGCCCAGAGGAAATTACTCTATTTTTTTTTTTTTAAGACGGGGTTTCATCATGTTGGCCAGGATGGTCTTGATCTCCTGACCTCGTGATCCGCCCGCCTCGGCCTCCCAAAGTGCTAGGATTACAGGCATGAGTCACCATGCCCGGTGAAATTACTCTATTTTTTAAATGCATGCCTATATTTATGTGTTTGTACACCCTGATCTTGCACTGAGTTGCATGAAATAAAAATGGGGAAAGGGCTTTGTGTTTGCAGCCTCTGAGGAAGTTTCACGTGGCTAACTGCCATAAAATCCCAACAACAGAAAAGCTGAGATGTCACATTGAGCTGGGCCTCAGGTGGGGTGTGTGTGTGTGTATATGTGTGTACCCATGTAGCCACTGTATGCCATAGTTTGCATGTCATTTTGAAGATAATATTCACCTGAGAATAGTTAGGGGAAAGAGTTTCGCTCTTTTTTTTTTTTTTTTTTTTTTGAGACGGAGTTTCGCTCTTGTTGCCCAGGCTGGAGTGCAATGGCGCGATCTCGGCTCACGGCAACCTCCGCCTCCTGGGTTCAGGCAATTCTCCTGCCTCAGCCTCCTGAGTAGCTGGTATTACAGGCACACGCCACCATGCCCAGCTAATTTTTAGTATTTTTAGTAGAGACGGGGTTTCACCATGTTGACCAGGATGGTCTCGATTTCTTGACTTCGTGATCCACCCGCCTCGGCCTCCCAAAGTGCTGGGATTACAGGCTTGAGCCACCGCGCCCGGCTAGTTAGGGGAAAGAGAATAAAGAAGAGGGAGAAAGTGGCCAAGCATGGGCTGGGATCATGCCTATAATCCCAGCTCTTTGGGAGGCTAAGGCAGGAGGACTGCTTGAGTTCAGGAGTTCGAGATCAGCCTGGGCAACAGAGCAAGACCTTGTCTCTACTAAATAAAAGTAAAAAAATTAGCTGGCATAGTAGCACGTGCCTGTAGTCCCAGCAACCTGGAAGGCTGAGGTGAGAGGATTGTTGGAACCCAGGAGTTCAAGGGCACAGTGAGCTATAATCACACCACTACACTCCTGTCTGGGTGACAGAGCAAGACCTTGTCTCAAAAAAACAACAAAAAAAGAAGAGGATAGAAGGAACTATCTCCCTGTGGGGTATAAGATAGAATAGGGTATACAATAGGGAGTATGTAGAAATGAAATGTGACAATTTTATAAAAACTTTAGTAAGATTTAAAAAATACAAATAAAATAAAACAACAAAAAAAAACTTTAGTAAGATAAGAGCTCAGGCCGGGCGCGGTGGCTCAGCCTGTAATCCCAGCACTTTGGGAGGCCGAGGCGGGTGGATCACGAGGTCGAGAGATCGAGACCATCCTGGTCAACATAGTGAAACCCCGTCTCTACTGAAAATACAAAAAATTAGCCGGGCGCGGTGGCTCAAGCCTGTAATCCCAGCACTTTGGGAGGCCGAGGCGGGTGGATCACGAGGTCAAGAGATCAAGACCAGCCTGGTCAACATGGTGAAACCCCGCCTCTACTAAAAATACAAAAAAGTAGCTGGGCATGGTGGCACATGCCTGTAATCCGAGCTACTCAGGAGGCTGAGGCAGGAGAATTGCCTGAACCCAGGAGGCGGAGGTTGCGGTGAGCTGAGATCGCGCCATTGCACTCCAGCCTGGGTAACAAGAGCGAAACTCCATCTCAAAAAAAAAAAAAAAAAAAAAAAGAAAGAAAATACAAAAAATTAGCTGGGCATGGTGGCGCATGCCTGTAATCCCAGCTACTTAGGAGGCTGAGGCAGGAGAATTGCCTGAACCCAGGAGGCAGAGGTTGCGGTGAGCCGAGATCGCGCCATTGCACTCCAGCCTGGGTAACAAGAGCAAAACTCCGTCTCAAAAAAAAAAAAAAAAAAAAAAAAGATAAGAGCTCAGCAAGTGGCAGTCATGATCATTATGATTATTACATGGCCCAAGCTTCCCAGTCAGAAAGCAGAAAAGGTCCTTCCACCTCTCCTAAGCCAGCCTCAGGCCCTGCATCTCACTGCCTAACGACTAGCAGCAGTGGCTAGTGGACAGAGGTCAAGGCTGGACTCGAAGGGAGCAGGGTCCTGATCCCAACGCTGCAACTAGAAAGTGGTCTCGTTCTCATCAATCTTTTTTTTTTTTTTTTTTTTTTTTTTTTTGAGATAGGGTTTCACTCTGTCACCCATGCTGGAATGCAGTGGCATGATCTCGCATAACTGCATCCCAGGCTCAACCAATTCTCAAGCCTCAGCCTCCTGAGTAGCTGGGACTATAGGCATGCATCCCCATGCCTGGCTAATTTTTATATTTTTTTGTAGTTATAGAGACGGAGTTTCGCCAGGTTGCCCAGGCTGGTCTTGAATTCCTGGGCTCAAGTGATCTGCCCATCTCAGCTTCCCAAAGTGCTGGGATTATGTTGGTCTCATCATTCAATCTCTGGTTTTTACTTTCCCTATTGATAATATAAGGATGTTCATTCCTGCCTGGATAAAGTAAGGAGGCTGGAAAGATATGCATTGTTCTTTCAAATTTAGAAGTGCATTGGCTAGATGCAGTAGCTCACACCTGTAATTCCAACTTTGAGAGGCTGAGGCAGAAGGATTGCTTGCACCCAGGAGTTCAACTCAAGCCTGGGCAACATAGTGAGACCCTATTTCTTTCTTTTTTTTTTTTGAGATGGAGTTTCACTTTTGTTACCCAGGCTGGAGTGCAATGGCACGATCTCGGCTCACCGCAACCTCCGCCTCCTGAGTTCTGGCAATTCTTCTGCCTCAGCCTCCCGAGTAGCTGGGATTACAGGCACGCACCACCATGCCCAGCTAATTTTTTGTATTTTCAGTAGAGATGGGGTTTCACCATGTTGACCAGGATGGTTTTGATCTCTTGACCTCGTGATCCACCCACCTCGGCCTCCCAAAGTGCTGGGATTACAGGCTTGAGCCACCGTGCCCGGCCTAGTGAGACCCTATTTCTAATAAAATAATAATAGGCCAGGTGTGGTGGCTTATGCCGGTAATCCCAGCAGTTTGGGAGGCCAAAGTGAGTAGATCACTTGAGCCCAACGAGTTCTAGACCACTCTGACCAACATGGTGAAACCCCATCTCTACCAAAAAATAAAAAATAAGGCCGGGTGCGGTGGCTCACGCCTGTAATCCCAGCACTTTGGGAGGCCAAGGCGGGTGGATCATGAGGTCAAGAGATCGAGACCATCCTGGTCAACATGGTGAAACCCGGTCTCTACTAAAAATACAGAAAATTAGCTGGGCATGGTTGAGTGTGCCTGTAATCCCAGCTACTCGGGAGGCTGAGGCAGGAGAATTGCCTGAACCCAGGAATTGGAGGTTGCGGTGAGCCGAGATCACGCCATTGCACTCCAGCCTGGGTAACAAGAGTGAAACTCCGTCTCAAAAAAATAAATAAATAAGCCGGGCGCGGTGGCTCAAGCCTGTAATCCCAGCACTTTGGGAGGCCGAGGCAGGTGGATCACGAGGTCGAGAGATCGAGACCATCCTGGTCAACATGGTGAAACCCCGTCTCTACTAAAAATACAAAAAACTAGCTGGGCATGGTGGCGCGTGCCTGTAATCCCAGCTACTTAGGAGGCTGAGGCAGGAGAATTGCCTGAGACCAGGAGGCGGAGGTTGCGGTGAGCCGAGATCGCGCCATTGCACTCCAGCCTGGGTAACAAGAGCGAAACTCCGTCTCAAAAAAAAAAAAAAGAAAATAATAATAATAAATAAATAAATAAATAAAAATTTTAAAAAATTTAAAAAAATTAGCCAGGTGTGGTAGCATGTACCTATAGTCCCAGCTACTCGGGAAACTGAGGCAGGAGAACCTTTGAACCTAGGAGGTGGAAGTTGCAGTGAGCCGAGATCACACCATTGCACTCCAGCCTGGGTAACAGACTGAGACTCTGTCTCAAAAAACAAAAACAAAAAACAGGCCAGGCATGGTGACTCATGCCTATAATCCCAGCACTTTGGGTGGCTGAGGCGGTCGGATCACAAGGTCAAGAGATTGAGACCATCCTGGCCAAAATGGTGAAACTCATTTCTACTAAAAATACAAAAATTAATTTAAAAAAACAAAAACAAAAATTAGCTGGGCGTGGTGGCAGGTGCCTGTAGTCCCAGCTACTTGAGAGGCTAAGGCAGGAGAATTTCTTGCACCTGGGAGGCAGAGGTTGCAGTGGGCTGAGATCACATGACTATACCTGGTGACAGAGTGAGACTCCATCTCAAAAAAAGAAAGAAAAAAAAAAAGAAAGAAAAGCATCCTCTTAAACCCAAAAGAAGTGGCGGATAAGGGAGAGAAACAACATTATTTTTCCAAAGCCTCTGCTTTGGGTCATCAGGGTCCAAGTTTCCAGTCAATCCCTTATCTCTCTCCAAAGCCACCAGAGAGACTTCCTTCATACATGCTATCAGCTCTGCTGGAGTCATGTACACCATCACCAAGAACTGTAGCATGGGTGACTTCGAAAACTGTGGCTGTGATGAGTCAAGAAATGGAAAAACAGGTAAGCTGGGCTTTCTAATGGTGATGGGAAGAGATGAGGGGCTACAGAGCTGAGCGCAGGCTAAAGTCTTTCAGCAAAACGTTAAAGGATACAGCTCCCTTAAACCTCAAGACTCCAGCAAGGAGTCTAACCTCAAGACTCAAAGACTAGGATTTCCTAGTCTTACACTCTCAGAGTTGAGCCTGGGTCCATGAGTCCAGATATTAGCAAGTTGCTCTAAAAGCAACAAGGCAATTAGAAATGAGAGTTAAAGCTAGCCCTGGTATTTCAAGCTTGGAATGGCTCATCCATAATCCAGAGCCACTCAACAATTTGCAGACAACCTAAGACACTTCCTCAGATTTATCACTAATGAGGGAGGCTTTTACAAGATGATTGTAGAATAATGATGCAGAATTCTAGAATGTTTGAGCTGCAGTGAACCTTTGAGAGCATCTAAGTCAGCCCCAGTGTGCCTACTTTTACAGTGGGTATAGAAGACTAATTGCTTATGGCTGGGACGTGTCTAAAGGCTGGGCAGTTGACTTTGGCAACAGGACTCCTCCCACCCACCCTAAGCACCTCCATTTCCCTGTCTTTTTTTTTTTTTTTTTTTTTTTTTTTGAGACGGAGTTTCGCTCTTGTTACCCAGGCTGGAGTGCAATGGCACAATCTCGGCTCACCGCAACCTCCGCCTCCTGGTCTCAGGCAATTCTCCTGCCTCAGCCTCCTAAGTAGCTGGGATTACAGGCACGCGCCACCATGCCCAGCTATTTTTTTTGTATTTTTAGTAGAGACGGGGTTTCACCATGTTGACCAGGATGGTCTCGATCTTTCGACCTCGTGATCCACCCGCCTCGGCCTCCCAAAGTGCTGGGATTACAGGCTTGAGCCACCGCGCCCAGCTCCCTGTCTTACCTTCAGCCACAGCTTTACACTCCTAGGGTTCTTGGGGATGGTTTGGCGGGTGACTGTGACTTAGCAGGGAGCTACATGGAGAACTTACTCTTTCTTTATATCTAGGAGGCCATGGCTGGATCTGGGGAGGCTGCAGTGACAATGTGGAATTTGGGGAAAGGATCTCTAAACTCTTTGTGGACAGTTTGGAGAAGGCGAAGGATGCCAGAGCCCTGATGAATCTTCACAACAACAGGGCCGGCAGACTGGTGTGTATAGGAGTTGTGGCCGGTATTGGCAACAGCTTCACATCTGTGCAGCCCTTCACAATTTACCAAGAGCCGTCTTATACATTCTTTCCCCATACCACCCAGCAGGACTAAGATGACTACCTTCATTCTCTGGATGCCAAAGCCAGTGAAGTCTGAGCCAACTGGCTTGTCCAAGGCAACTAACAAGTGTCAGAGACAGGCAGTGAACTTAGCTCTTTCCGCCAAGTCCTCTTGTCATTATCTGCTGGCTCTGCCCCTCTATGGGCGGGCATCTGAAAACACACAATCAAGGCCTTGCTTCTATGACTCACATTTTTTATCACTTCAACTGCATGTTCTAGTAAATTAACAGGGCCTTGTTGCCCAGCCTTGTGTCCTAAAGTCTGTCTGGGTTCTGGGGAATTGGGATTAATCTAGGCTTCTCTGGAGTGTCTAACTCTCCCCCAAGACTTCTAGTGGGGTGGCAATCTCTGTAGTATTCTGAATACAAATCTGGAAACAAGTTGGATTTCGAGCCAAGAGCATAGAAATTTCCCTGTCAACTTGTACCTAGACGTCCTGGTTGCCCAGGGAAAGGGGGAAAGGGGGAAAGAGTTTTTTTGGGTTTGGGTTTTTTTTTTTTTTTTTTTTGAGACAGGGCCTTTCTCTGTCACCAGGCTGAAGTGCAGTCGTGCCATCTCAGCTCACTGCAACCTCCACCTCCCAAGCTTAAGCCATCCTTCCACCTCAGCCTCCTGAAAACCTTGGACTACAGGCGCTTGCCACTATGCCCGGCTAGTTTTTGTGGCTTTTGTAGAGATGGGGTTTTCTCATGTTGCCCAGGCTGGTCTCAATCTCCTGGACTCAAGCAATTCTCTTGCCTTAGCCTCCCAGTGTCTTGGGATTACAAGCATGAGCCACTGCATCCAGCCAGGAAGAGGTTTTTGTTTCTTTTTTTTAAATTGCATTTTAGGTTTTGCAGTACATTTGAAGAACATGCAAGATAGTTGCATAGGTACACACATGGCAGTGTGATTTGCTGCCTTCCTCCCCTTTACCTATATCTGGCATTTCTCCCCATGCTATCTCTCCCCAACTCCCCACCCACCTTTTTTTTTTTTTTTTTTTTTTTTTTGAGACAGAGTCTCACTCTGTCACCCAGGCTGGAGTGCTGTGATGCGATCTTGGCTCACTGCAACCTCTGCCTCCTGGGTTCAAGCAATTCTCTTGCCTCCGCCTCCTGAGTAGCTGGGACTACAGGTACATACCACCATGCCCGGCTAATTTTTTGTATTTTGGTAGAGACGGGATTTCATCATGTTGCTCAGGCTGGTCTCAAACTCCTGAGCTCAGGCAATCTACCTGCCTCAGCTTCCCAACATGCTGAATTACAGGCGTGAGCCACTGCGCCCAGCCAGGAAGAGGTTTTTTAAGCAAGTACAGCCATGGGAAATTCATTGCCTTGTGGGTATAAGTGTTCAAACTCAAGACCTCCCCTCTCAGTAAGAACCCAGAAGACAAATTCAATATTTGTCCTGCAAATAGTCTCACCCCCAGCCTCAAGACAATAACTGTGGCAATTATCACAGTTTCCTTTGTAATTTACAGAGTATTTCCTTGATCATTATTATATTCAATTTTTTTTTTTTTTGAGACAGAGTCTTGTACTGTCGCCTGGGCTAGACTGCAGTGGTGCAATCTTGGCTCACTGCAACCTCCGCCTCCTGAGTTCAAGTGATTCTCCTGCCTCAGCCTCCTGAGTAGCTGTGATTACAGGCACCCCACCCACCCACCACACACAGCTAATTTTTTGTATTTTTAGTAGAGACCGGGTTTTGCTATGTTGGCCAGGCTGGTCTCGAACTCCTGACCTCATGATCCACCCGCCTCAGCCTCCCAAAGTGCTCCAGCTTGGCAGATAGAGAAAAGCTCTCTAAAAAATAAAAAAAAAAGAGGCCGGGCGCGGTGGCTCAAGCCTGTAATCCCAGCACTTTGGGATCACGAGGTAGAGAGATCGAGACCATCCTGGTCAACATGGTGAAACCCCGTCTCTACTAAAAATACAAAAAACTAGCTGGGTGTGGTGGCGCGTGCCTGTAATCCCAGCTACTTAGGAGGCTGAGGCAGGAGAATTGCCTGAGCCCAGGAGGCGGAGGTTGCGGTGAGCCGAGATCGCGCCATTGCACTCCAGCCTGGGTAACAAGAGCGAAACTCCGTCTCAAAAAAAATAAAATAAAAATAAAATAAAATAAAGTAAAATAAAGAGAAAAGCTCTACAAATGATAGAGTTAGGCCTGGGACAGAGGCTTCTGGGCTCTGGTAACCTTCTCAGCTCTTGCCTGGCTCTCCATCAGAATCACCCATGGAAGCTTTAAAATCACCAGTCCCAGGTCCTTAACCCCCTGAATAACCTCATTGAGAAGATCTGAGGTAGGGCCCAGGAATAACTATTTTTCATGAGCTTCCCCAATAATCCTGTGTTCCTTTAAAGTTAAGAAACACAGCTCTAACATATTCTTTTTAATCACTGACCTTTGGTCTTCCCTGCTCAGAGCCATTCTCTTCTTTATGTTCTCTCTGTGAAGGCAGTGAAAGCCGCCTTGAAAAGGACCTGCAAATGCCATGGCATCTCCGGGAGCTGCAGCATACAGACTTGCTGGCTGCAGCTAGCTGACTTCCGGGAGATGGGAGACTACCTGAAGGCTAAATATGACCGGGCACTGAAAATTGAAATGGATAAGCGGCAACTGAGATCTGGGAACAGCGCCGAGAGCCACTGGGCACCCTCTGAGGCCTTCCTTCCTAGTGCAGAGACGGAACTGATCTTTTTAGAGGAATCACCAGATTACTGTACCCACAATTCCAGCCTGGGCATCTATGGCACAGAGGGTCGCGAGTGCCTACAGAACAGCCACAACACATCCAGGTGGGAGCGATGTAGCTGTGGGAGCCTGTGCACTGAGTGTGGACTGCAGGTGGAAGAGAGGAGAACTGAAGTCACAAGCAGCTGTAACTGCAAATTCCAGTGGTGCTGTACGGTCAAGTGTGACCAGTGTAGGGATGTGGTGAAGAAGTATTACTGCACACGCTCCCCAGGTAAGGGCAGTGCCTGATAATAACCCACACACGTTCACTTGGTTGTGTCAGTGGAAGGGGACATAGCTTCTCTCTCAGACAGAACAGATTGGAAAGCAACTGGAAAATCACAGTGTTGGTCTGTAGTCCTCATGGTATTTGCTATCGGTGGTGAAATGTAGGCCCAGGATTCCACAGCAAATGCCTGGCAGGGCTGAAATGGGAACCTGGGCCTTCTGACTTTGGCAGACCCCATTTCATCTTTCCTGCAAGCTACTTTCCCGTCTTTGCACCTGTACTTAATGCAGCTTGCTACAGGGAAAGTTTGGTTTGGGGTCCCTATCTAGAGGGACCTTCAGAGTATTTGTTCCTTTAAATTTTAGACCATGTCCAACCCGGCATGCTGCTGGGAATCAGGAGAATAAAAGCAAAAGATGAGAGTTCTGTTCAGACTCCTGAAGGAGTAGCCTGTGGCTAGCTCCAGACCAGCTACAAACAAATCCATGCTGATAAATGAGGTAAAGACTACGTCTCTGCCTACTGGGAAGTTTTTAGAGTGTTAGATTTTTTCCCCCCATGTATGCCCTTTTGAAAAGTTCTTCCTCCAACCTGAACAACATAGGAAGACACCATCTCTACACAAAATTAAAAAATGGTCCTGGCATGGTGGCACTTGCCTGTAGTCCTAGATACTTGGGAGGCTGAGATGGGAGGATCACTTGAGCCCAGGAGATCGAGACTACAGCAAAGTGTGATTGCATCATTACACTTCAGCCTGGGCAGCAGAATTGATACCCTGTCTCAAAAAAAAAAAGAAAGGTAAAAGAAAATAATTTCTTCCCACTTAAGCCTGGGGAAACCAGCACCCAGTATAACCTGAGAGTTTTTGCAGCTCATAAACCATCTCTGGAGCTATGGAAAGGGACTCGTGGCAGTAAGCAGACAGGAGACTATGACTTACCCAGACAAAGTCCCATAACAGTGATGTTCCCTAGAGAGCTGGGGACTCCTTGGTTATTTTCCCAGATTGAGAACTCAGCTTTATTTTGCAATAAATGCTTCTAGGACATATCCAGCTGGGACTTCTATTGCTCCCTTTGGAAACCTTAAGATCAGAAAGCGAATAAGAAACCCTGCTTCTCTCCCAATAATCAACCAGGATAAAGGGGAAACTAGAAATATCCAACTCCCTTGATTTGGCAGATAATAAAAAATTGAGACCCAGACACTGGTCAACAGGAAAACAATACAGACTTCCAGAGTTAGAAAATGTTATTTTAATGGGGAGTAAAGAAGCCCTTTGAACTTGAGCCATATTCAAACTGTGTTTGCTCTCTTAACTTGGGCATCCTGGGGTGTCTGCACACCAAGGGCAAGAGACAAGGGGAGTTGTGGATTCTACCTACGTGCATTTGCACTTCTACATCTTCCAGTGGCAATCTTTGGAGGAGGGGTAGTTTCCCATAAAGAGAGCCCCGGGAGCTTACCCACTGGTTTCCCAAATCTGAGTATCTCAGCCTTGGGAATCTCCGCTGTCTGCACAGACCTTACACCATGCTGGGAGGAGATATTTTGAATATGTTGAGTAAAAAGTAAAAATGATCACCAAGAATGGGAAAACATCCCTAGCTTATTGTTTTAAATTAGAAAACAATTTAAGTTTTCAAAGTATGATGAACAAGTAAATCATGAACTTAAAGTAGACTATTAACCACTAAAATATTCTTGAGAAATACTTAGTAGCATGGAAAACATGCATGATAGAAGGGAACAACGCCGATTACAAAATGGCATGTTCAGAATGAATCCAATTTTGTTGTCAAAAATGTGCAAACATTTGCCATTATGTGATACCAAAACAGAACGATTTGTTTTCCTTTTGTGTTTTTCTATATTTTTACATTTGCCTAACAATAAACATTTTTTGTCATCAGAAAGAATTCATGTGTTATTTGTTCTAATGCCAAAGAGGAATAACCTACTTTGTTTTTTAGTGAAAAGGAAGGTGAAATGTTCATTAAGGAAGTTGGCATCTCAAGAGAAACATTTAAAACTACCACAGATGTCAGAGAACAGATATAAGGACAAATACACAAAAGTGAAGCGTATGTCAAGGAAATGACAGATTTCCTCTCTGTCCCTCCTTCAATGGAAAGTTAAAAAACAGGCTCCAGGCCGGGCGCGGTGGCTCAAGCCTGTAATCCCAGCACTTTGGGAGGCCGAGGCGGGTGGATCACGAGGTCGAGAGATCGAGACCATCCTGGTCAACATGGTGAAACCCCGTCTCTACTAAAAATACAGAAAACTAGCTGGGCGTGGTGGCGCGTGCCTGTAATCCCAGCTACTCAGGAGGCTGAGGCAGGAGAATTGCCTGAACCCAGGAGGCGGAGGTTGCGGTGAGCCGAGATCGCGCCATTGCACTCCAGCCTGGGTAACAAGAGCGAAACTCCGTCTCAAAAAAAAAAAAAAAAACAGGCTCCAGTAGAGACAGAAAAAGAAAATGTGTGTGGTATGTGCCTGCTTGGTGGTCGTGGAAGGGGGAATGGAAATAGGCAACCAAAAGAAGATTATTTCCCTGGGGTTCAGAAAAAGCAAAAATAAAATTATCTAGCACAGAGGTGAAACCATCCATAAATACAGATGTCAAAGCACCCATCCTGAAGCCTGAGTTGTGACACTGTGCTAGAAAAGAACACACTAGACTTCCTCCCTGCATTCCTAACTGACTCTCCATCCAAATAACCCAGGCACCTGATACTTTCACTTTTTCCCCAGGACCTTACTGATGTATCCCAATAATTTTAGGAGGGATTTTCAGAAGCAAAACCATCCTTGCTGCCCTGTTCGAAAGGTCATTCCAGGAGAACAAGATTTGTGTTTACTGTAGGATTATATCAGAGGTTTTCACCAAGAAATCTCAGGGCAATGGGAATCCCCTGAAGTTTGTCTGCTTCCCCAGAAAACTCAGTCTCCTGGTCTTGTCTCCTTCCAAGCCTCTCCCACCCTCATCCATCTTACCTTCAGAGCAATCAATCACACCAACCAATCTTCCCACATGGACCCTGAGCCAGAAACTACAGGAATTTGGATTTTTCTACATCCATCACCTTCTTGTCAAGGATTCATTCCAAGGCAACACAGCCTCATTCAGATTCATTAGTTACAACCCTACACTCCTTCCCTTTTGGTTCATCCTTAACAAGCTGGCTATCATTAAGGTGACAGAACAGTAAAACGCCCAGGTTCCATAGATTCAGAGCCCAAAACAGGCAGATTGGCCACAATCTAATGATGGATCTTGCAAATCTGCTGAAAAAGTGATCAACTCAGTGAGGGAAACCTGTTCATGAGCCTATTCCCCTAGCTCAGTAAATTCAAGCACAACATCACTTCACCTGGACAGTGGAATTCTGTAGTTGCTCAGTCTAGATTAAAAGGAAAATATGCCTTTGGGAGGCCAAGGCAGGAGAATCACTTAAGAAGGCCAGGAAGTGGCTGGGTGCAGTGGCTCACACCTGTAATCCTAGCACTTTGGGAGGCTGAGGTGGGTGGATCACCTGAGGTTACAAGTTCAAGACCAGCCTGGCCATCATGGTGAAACCCCATCTTATTAAAAAAAAAAAAAAAAAAAAAAAAAAAAGAAGGCCAGGAAGTTTGAGACCAGCCTGGGTAACATGGTGAGACCTCAACTCAACAACAACAACAACAAAGGGCCGGGCGCGGTGGCTCACGCCTGTAATCCCAGCACTTTGGGAGGCCGAGGCGGGTGGATCACAAGGTCAAGAGATCGAGACCATTCTGGCCAACATGGTGAAACCTCGTCTCTACTAAAAATACAAAAAAATTAGCTGGGCATGGTTGAGCGTGCCTGTAATCCCAGCTACTCAGGAGGCTGAGGCAGGAGAATTGCCTGAACCCAGGAGGCGGAGGTTGTGGTGAGCCGAGATCGCGCCATTGCCCTCCAGCCTGGGTAACAAGAGCGAAACTCTGTCTCAAAAAGAGAGAGAGAGAGGGAAAAGAAAGAAAAAGAAGCTGAGTGTGGTGGCTCACATCTGTAATCCCAACACTTTGAGAGGCTGAGGCAGGCAGATCACTTGGACACAGGAGTTAGAGACCAGCCTGGGCAACATGACAAAACCCCTTCTCTACAAAAAATACCAAAAAGGCAGGCATGGTGGCATGGGCCTGTAGTCACAGCTACTCCAGAGGCTGAGGTAGGAGGATCCACTGAGCCTGGGCGGTTGAGGCTGCAGTGAGCTGTGATCATGCCACTGTACTCCAGCCTGGGTGAAAGAATGAGACCTTGCCCCCCAAAAATAAAAAAATTTAAAAAAAAATTTTTAAAAAAAGAAAGAAAAAGAGAAAAAGAGAAGAAAGGAAAGAACATAAATATGCTTATGCTTGCCAGACCCCTACAAAACTTTCTCTCTTTTGTCTTTTTCTTTTCTTCCTTCTTCCCATCTGCCCTCTGATGTGGGCAGAATTAGGAGCTCCTAAGAAAACCCTTAGTCCTGTTCCCAGGGTCTCCTTTGGTTCACTGCCAATCTACTCAGGCTTGCTGGCAGGTAAGTGGTTAGAAAAACTAGAAAGGAAAGGAAGTAACTGATCACCTACTAAAATGTCAGGTGCTTAATAGATATCATCTCCTTCAATCCTCAGACCAATCCAATTAAAGAGTTACAATTATTCCTTTCCGACTACTGAGGAAACTGCCTCAGAGAGAGGTTAAGCACCCCAACCTAAAATTAAACACAGGGAGGTGAATTTGAATTCAGGCTACCACCTCATAAATCCATACTCTTTATTTTACACCACTTACACTGTAGGAGCCCAGGGATCTCTGGCAACATTCACCATCATGACAGTTTGACTACCATTCATATGCAACGAACTGTCCTCTCCTCCCTCTTCACCAAGCAAGAGAGTCATTTTTCTCAGCCTTTCTCCAGAATGAAGAAACCTAACTTTTGATTTGCAAAGGCCTTCCTTAGAATGATAAAGCAGAAAGCCTGGCTCCTGCTGATTTGGGAGGGCAGAATCCTGGTTCTTCGGCAGTACTCAAAGAAAAAACTAAGCATTATGGTCTACATTAGAGGTCAAAGTTTCAAGAGGGAATGTCAAAGGAGGGCTGTTTATTTTAGAAGACAGAGAAAGGAAAGGAAAAACAGGGTTCAGAGGAAAACGAATGTTTCTAGCCCCACATCACAAACTACTCATAATATTCATTGATGACAAAAAGACAGTGACCCTGGACCTAGACAAAGATGTTCAGGTTGGAGGGAAAAAAAAGCAAGAACCATATCAAAGGCTCCTAGAAGAGGTTAAAGACCTATGGGTAGGAATAGAGCTCTAAACCAACCAATCTTGCGGCATTCCCTACCGCCTGGAGGAGGAACGTATCTTGACCCTATCATCACCTGAGATCACAGAGGAGCAAAGAGTGGACACCAGGGCCCTGGACAGCCTCCATGGTTGGTGCTCTGCCTGCCCTGCTAGGTTGCCCTTCTCATGGAGAGTC